GCGTAGCAGACCAAATAAACATTGATAGAGAAACAGGAAAATCTTAACTGAAAATCTTGACATGAGAAAGGTGTGTGTAAAAAAATCATCCCAAAGGAGCTCCTGCATCATGACAATGCACACAACATCATCTGCCCTACTGACCTTCTCTGGTCCCCAGTGACTTTTTTCTGTCAAAGATAAATGAAATATTGAAAGGAAGATATTTTGATGGAATTCAGGACATCAAGAGTTATGCAACAGCTCTGCTGGTCATTCCAGAAAAAGAGTTCCAAAATTACTTTGATGGATGAACCAGGCCCTTGCATTGATGCATAGCTTCCTGAGGTCAAAAAAGGTGACCATATGCAGCAATGACATATGTGGCACTTTTTCTAGGATGAGTTCATGAACTTAATTGTAAGATCTCATAGGCTACTTTAAGATAGGCAATAATATGCATTTTTTGCAAGCATAAACACTCGGGTATACTAATGACAGTTGCACAAATATAACAGTTATGAGCACATAAATTGTATTCCTAAAGAAATCAGTCAAGAAGCAAAATGTATAAAAACATATAACTATACTTGTTAATTATGCACATTCATTTTGTGACCGTGGTCATCTGAAAAACCACAAAGAACAAACTAAGTCTTTTGATGAGACTGATCAAAAATTGAAATGAGTCACCACTATGTATGCAGCAACCTAAAGAGCTGAGATCTCAAAAAAAAATTGCCTTTCACAAATGTAGATGTACAAAAAGTACATCTCTTTATTTATTGAGGAAGTCTCCATGTGTTTACATACACGCAAAATGCTTACACACAAAACCAGCATGTGACAATGCACTTTTGTGAAGTCAAATCTGCGGAAAGTGAATTAGAACTCTCTAAAAGTCTTTACACAGTTTATACCTCCAGTATTAGAAATGACGTGACAATAAAATGCATAGCAGAGTGAATTGGCACTATGTGTGAAGGAGTAGAAGTTGCACTCGACTGAATAATTTGGCAGGGAAGAGTTTTTGTAATTTCCACTTGGACTTTCACTCCTTCCATGATCTTTGAAATATCTGCTGCACTCATATTTGGAGAATGGTTGTGGCCTACAAATTTTGTAAGTATATTCTATCTATTTGGAAATCTGAACATTGTTCAGCTGTTACAATGGAGCATTTTTCTGCTTTTTGCAGCACAAATAATAACTCACTTTTATACTTTTGTTTTCACCATGAAGTGGCCTTGTACATTTATCACATCACTTTTGTCAGGGAAAATTTCACAGATCTCCTTCACTGTGTTGTAAGAAATATAGTAAGGAATAACATTTGGCTTCCCCAGTATCAAACCTGTATTAGCCAAGGTTCTCCAGGGAGATAGAACCAATAAGATGGACAGATGATGACGATAGATAGATGATAGATAGATAGATATGATAGAGAGATGACAGACAGATGATTGAGACAGATGATTGATAGATAGATGATAGATAAGATAGTTGATGATAGATAATAGATTACATAAGTAGATAGATGAATAAGATTGATTATGTGGAGAGATAGATGATAGATACATAGATACATAGACAGATAGATAGATGAGAGGGGATTTATTAAGGGTGTTGGCTTGCATGATTATGGTGGCTGAGAAGTCTCATGTAGGCCAAGTCTATCTGCAAGCTGTAGACCATGGGATGCCAGCAGTATGGCTCACCCCAAGTTCAAAATCCTCAGAATAAGGGAAGCCTAAGGTGCAACTCTCTGTCTGAGGTCAAAGGCCTTAGCACCCTGGGGGGCACTGGTGTAAGTCTTGGAGTCCCAAGGCTGGTAAGCCTGGAGTTCTGATGTCCCAGACAGCACAAGTAAAGTCTGTCCCAGCCCTCAGAGAAAGATCAATTTGCCTTCTATATTTGTTCTCTCCAGCACCTCAGTAGATTGGATGGTGGCAGCCAATGTTGAAGGAAGACCTTCTCCACCTACTCCACTCATACTCGTGCAATAATCTCCTCTGGAAACACTCTGATAGACACATCCAAAGTAATTTTTACCAAGTTTGGGGGTATTCCTTAATCCAGTCATGTTGACACCTAAAATTATGTCTACAAATTCACTCCTTGTCAATTTAGCACCCATTCGAGTCTCCTTAAAAACCATACTTAATTACCAAATAAAAACAATACCAAGGTAATAACTCTGCCTCACCTGATGGCAACTAACAGAATGCACCTATCCTGCATGCAGCTGAAAGCACACTAATCTGTTTCCCAGAATTCAGCTTTCAGGATTTCAACATTCAGGATTTTCATGTTTTCAAGACAATAATTTTTGAAATTTTAGATATGTTAAAAAAATTTTGATTTCAGGTATTTTGATCTTTTGGGATTCCAACATTCAGGATTATGACATTTGGGATTGCATCTCTCAGGATTTTAATCAGGACCAAAAACAAAGCAAAACAAAAGAACACCATAGATGGGAGCCTTATAAACAGAATGTATTTCTTGGTTTTGGGCGGCTGAAAATTCCAAGGTAAAAATGCTGGCTAACTTGGTGTTTGGTGAGGGTCCACTTCTTGGATCATAGACAACCACATTTTTGATGTACTTCGTAGAGAAGATCAGAAATCTCTCTGAGGTCTCTTTTACAAGGGCGCTAATCCCATCCATGAAGGCTCTGCCCTCACTATCTAATCACCTCCTAAAGGATTCACCTGCTAATACTATCACCTTAGGAGTTAGGATTTTGACACAAAAATTTGAGGGGAGACATACTTTCATATCATAACACTAGGTAATTCCAGAAGTTGTGAATTGAACCTTGCTGGGTTTTAGTTTATTCTTATTTCTTCAAATATTCCTAAATTTTAGTCTAGAATACTATTATATTACTTGGAAACAATTTGATGCTTTAGGTCTTTCCTGTAAGATTTGTTAGGGTAGGATCAGATCAGCATGTAGCCAGGGCTAATTATTCCCCATGCCTGTGCTAATACTCTTTAGTGAACCCAGTGCCCTCTAAATTGTGAGTTTTCCATGTTGGATAAAGGGAACCATCAGTCTTCCCAGAGCTGTGTGTCAACTTAATCATTCTCTTCCCAGGCAGTTTCCTCACATGTTTGCACTGATCAGCATTCAGCGGAATACCCAAATCCCACAGACCTCCAGGTCGCTCTCCTTCCTTTCTCCCACCTTCTTTTCCTTCTCCCTCTCTCTCTACGGGACTCTCTTCTCTATGTGACTCTTTCCTATGAATCCTAGCCACTTTCATCACCAAGATTCTCCGCTTTTTCTCCCCAATTGTGCTTGCTCTCTGGATTCCCCAGTCCACAATGACTTGGAAACTCTCCCAGGCAGTAAACCAGAGCAACCATGGGATTCAGCTTACTTTCTTTTCTCTCAAGGTTCACTACCTTTTGTTGCCTCATATCCAGTGTCTGGAAAGTTATCGTTTCACATATTTAGCTTGTTTTTTAGTTGTTTCAGGTGGAAAGGTAAACACACTTCCTGTTTCTTCATTTTGAGTGGAAGTAGACATGTCTTGCTTTTTTTACCTTTTTGATTTTGCACCAATCTATTTATTCTATTCTCCTTCTACATATTTTCAATTAGGCTTATAATTTTACTAGACTTTTGATATAACATTCTCTTTTCACTGCATTTTTTTCTTGCTCTCATTCCTATTTTAACTCTGGCCACCAATCATCCTCAGCATTGCCACCAAGGTGAGATACATAACTGACAAAACATGTTAATACTCCTACTTTAAAAACATTTAGTACCATTCCTTGCCTACAATGTAAAGTTCTAATTCTTTAACATGGCACACAAAACCCTTCTTCATGTAGCCCTAATTTACCTCAGCAACAATAACATTATTAGCAAAAAGTAGGTATTGTTGGGTGGCTACCATGTGGCAGAAACTGGTAGATGTTTTGTTGAAAAATAAAGTTCTTATCCTTGGTATCTCAAGACTAGCAACTGAGAAATAAAGCATATGTAATGCTTATCTTAGAAAAAGTGCTGGTAAGGAGGCAGTACACACAGAAGGAATAATATATGTGAAATACCACGAGGCAGGGAGAAATTTGGCATGCCCAAGAAATGAAAGAAAGCCAGGGTGCCCGTATAGACTGGGTTATAGTGAATGTCTCCTCGGAAGGCTGGAGATGGTTCTTTAATTCCCCATTTCTGACCCATCACTAAAGCCTTACAATGTATATGCCATGATAACTATTAGTAGGTCTTTCGAGCTTCCATGTTTCTACATGCCTATATTCATCTGTATGTGCCATTTCCCATACCCTAAACCCCTTTGTCTTTTGTCCTCTTGAACAAAAGTTGGCAGCTCTTCTTGTCTTTTAAACACAATTAAATCCTTTCCTCACAGGAAAGAGTTTTCTAACTGGTCATTCCTTTCTATCAGCAGATATAACCACTTTTGTACATTATTTACCCTGTGCTTTAAACCCATGTTTATCATTGCTATCATATGTGTTTCCCCTACTTGAATCTAAGTTCTATCAAACTAAAATTATGTCTTGTTAATTTTTGTTTCACCATTTGTAAAATCAGTAATAGTCATGGCTGATTCTATTGCTGTGCTGCATCCCATGCGAAAATAAATACAAATGCTATGCGAAAAAACCTACACAAAATTATTCACTAGATACATTTGATTAGGGAAATAATATTAAAAGTGGATATAATGATAAAGCATTAATTGTTTGATTATGTTTTGCCTGTCTTGCTTTAGCTGTTAACATAATTACCTACATGACAATTACTACTTTTTGCGTGTCTAATATATTAGTCCAAAATAAGGTTCAAAAATTTAAAATGTTCAATTCAACAGCAACAGCATATGTTATTTCCCCTTATTTTTTTGTAAATCTGTGAGTAGTGTTTCCTAATTTCCTCTGGCTGTTTCATGTCACATATTGAAGAAAATCCAAGTTTGAAAGGGAATCTCAGCTTTTTCCAATGACTTCCTTTTTGGGGTTGACTCCACCTCCACATGCAGGCTTTTCATTTTTATAAGGGAGTGGTGATTTTTAGAATTTTAGTCTTCTACCTCAGGAGACCATGTCTATGAAATAATAAAAGAAGGCTTTTAGGAATCACTGAAATTATAAATCTTTGAAATGGACAAACTCAGAATGGTGCTACTTGAAGACTCTGGATCTCCTGGTAAAATATTCTCATTTATTCTACATTTCCTTTTCACTGGGGTATAGGACTATGATGACGGTCAGTGGATGTGATTTGAAAGTAGTTGGCATCAGGAGAGTAGGGAATGGAAAAGGGACACTAGACTTATATGGTAGTACCTTTGATCTGCCATAGAGTCAGAATTGAAGATGTGAGATAGGGATCAGAATTGACATGAGTTTTGTAAAACTGCTGTGATGAAATCAAGTCAGGAACCAAAGTTAACTGAACTGTATTAAACCGGAAAATAATAATTTTTAGAAGAGATAGAATATGTAATGGATATTGACTGAAAGTTGGTTACCTAGAGGAAAGTCGGAATAATATACCTGAGCTATCTACTCCATGACTTACACAGACATGTTAAAACCATGTCGCATTTTTAGCTTTAAATTAGTGTTGGGTTAGAACAGTAAGAAAAAGTGAGAGCAATAACAGCACTAAAGAGTGTATTATACTATAATGCTATAGCTAGAGATGATAAGACTAAAGATTTGAATTTTTCAGGTAAAAACATCATCACCTTATGCCATCAATGTTTTGTTCAGCTACTATTTGTCAAGTACCATGCTAGGTACTGATGAAATTGTGATGAACAGATATAATTCATTTACTCATGTAACTTACCTTCTACCAGTGAAGATCAGGTAAACATGAATACAGGGGTACCTGCAGTTAAATACTGAGGAGTTCAGGGAATATGGAGATCTCGGGAAACCTGTCCTATGCCTGTAAGAATAACTGCCCACTGCTAAGTTCCATTGATGCCTTTTGTCATCTTCCAGGTATTCCCTTGCAATTCTTGCTTCCACCCTGAACTTTCTTCTAATCCCTCACTCCTAGGTTACCTGCAAACATTTTCAAAGCCATTTCACTGGAACTGCGTGATCCTGGGTATGAGTCTTTCCTATCTACCTTGCATTTAGATCCAGGAAGAATTTTCAGTCTTGACTTAACCTTCTGTGTTAATTTCAAACCTTTGAAGCCATCTGTCTTCTCCAAAGTCTCTTTTTGGGGTGACTCTACTTTTGCCCCCTGTCCTTTTTCACAGACTTTAGAAGATGGTTTGTCCACTTGAGTCCCTTCACTATTGCTGCCGTCTCACTTCTCAGCACCTGTTTCTTCACCAGTTCTCTTGGTGAGTGCTTTGTCAAATTTACTTATGGTCTTAGCCCATTCTGAAAGAAATGTTTTTTTAAAAGCTTATTATTTTTCTGAAAGCTCGTGTCCAAAAACTAGCTAACTATGGATTCAAAGTGTCAGGTATTAAATGCATACAATAAGAACCTAACCTAACCATGTGGCACCCAAATGTTAGCCTGCCCCCCCATAAAATAAACTCACAGGAATAAAAAGTGCATGTTACTTAAAGATCAGAAGTAATGTCAGCTGGAAAATGGGGAAGAATACAGAGCAGAGAAGACCTCAGAATTATTGGAACAAAAGGAAATTGTGAGAACACCTTAATAAATTCCAATGCCAAAATGTATCTAAAAGTGCATTGAGAGAGGCCAAGTTGGTGGGACCACGAGGTTCCTTAGTTAAGCTAAAATAATGCCAGGGAGGAGATAATCGGGAAGGGAGGACTTGGGGGAGAGAGTGGGAAGGGAGAGTCGAGAGGGGCTTATTTCATGGTAGAAAATAATAGGAAAATATCTCCCTACTAATTTTCATTCAAATGAATAAGTTTCCATCAGGTTTCAACTGTTGTTTTGAAATTTATACTATTTCACACATATAGGCATTAAATTTCTTACAACTTGTCTTTTTATCCTTATAAATCCACTCTCAGTCTTCTTTCAATTGATCTTAGAATTTTGGAGAAAACGTATATAGTTCACCCCTATATGATTCTATTAACATCTTGTTTAACTGGTAAACATGGAGAATATATAAATTGCCACTATTAAGAGTACCCAACCATACAATAAAGTTATCATATGGTATTTTGCTACTCAGCTTTACTGGTGATATGTCATTGCTTGATGCCAGTGACTCTGGGGCTTTTTTTGTTTCACTTTGTTTTGTTTTGAGTTGGAGTCTCACGCTGTCGCCCAGAATGGAGTGCAGTGGCATGCTCACAGCCACTGCAGCCTCAACCTGCTGGACTCAGGCGATCCTTCCACCTCAGCCTTCCATGAGGCTGAAACGACAGGCGTGTGACATCACGTTCAGCTAATGTTTTTATTTATTTTAGAGACAAGGTCTCACCAAGTTGCCCAAACTGGTCTTGAACCCCTGGGCTCAGGCAATCCTCTCGCCTCTGCCTCCCCAAGTGCCAGAATGATAGTCTTGAGCATCGTGCCTTGAGATGCAGATATTTATATCTGAATGCCTATGAAGCAGCACCCTCCTACTGTACTAGGCATGGGAACCCGGATGGTTCTCCAATCTGACTTTGAAAGACAAATAAGCAATCTGAAGAAGAATAATCCTCTCCCTGCTCACCATGACCTTGGCCGATCACTGTCCTATCCTGTTGTTGCAGGAGGAAAGCATAAGGAACTGAGGCTTGTGGATGGTGAAAACAAGTGCAGTGGTCGAGTGGAAGTGAAAGTCCAAGAGGAGTGGGGAACCGTGTGCAATAATGGCTGGAGCTCGAACGAGGTCTCTGTGATCTGTCAGCAGCTGGGCTGTCCCACTGCTGTCAAAGCCACAGGGTGGGCAAATTCCAGCGCAGGCTCTGGGCGCGTTTGGATGGATCATGTTTCTTGTCGTGGAAATGAGTCCGCTCTCTGGGACTGCAAACATGACGGATGGGGAAAGCATAGCAACTGCACTCACGAACAGGATGCTGGAGTGACCTGCTCGGGTAAGATGTGTTGGTGAAAGCCTCAGCTTGACATGCTTGGTGGCGGAAAAGACATGTAGATGGCTTAAAACCTAAGATGAGCCATGTTCCTGTAAGTAAGCTAGTATAAAATTATAAAATTTTTATAAAATTGCCCAGTGCATTGCTAGAAGTCCACAAAACACATGCCAATGCCTATATTTTAAAAGGTCAATCAAAATTTTGAACCTTATGAAAAATATGGAAGTAACTAGCATCAATAATTCCACCGTAGCTTCCCATCCCTACATTAAAATATCATGATATCTAAGTTAATTCCTTGTCCCCTTTTCCGGTGGCACGTTGTTTTAATGCATTGACCCACAATTCGTGACTAATGATGGATCCCAATGTCCATTAACTGAAAATCAAGTTAGTGAACCAAGAAACAACTATTCCTAGCATGCATGCATCATATTTCTTGTTATAGGAAAGATTCTTTGAAAGTGTAATCGCTTTTCCGGTGCCCAATGCTATTTACTTTATTTACATTGTAGTTTTCATTTGCAAAACATTTTCATAGTTTTATCTCAGTTAACCTCACTTCACAATAACCCAGGAAGTTTATGTGTCTGCCTTCTCTGCTGACAAATCCCAAGGTCGAGTTTCTGACCCAGTTCAGATCCCCGGGCTCCTCATGTCTCCCTGTTCATTTTATTAACTTGCATGCAACCCTCTCATCTCCTAGCCTCTCCCTCAGAGACCATTTCCCCCGTCGGACTGACTATTGAATGGCTGATCTCTACCCAGGCTCTATGGAATAATGAGAGCAAAAGAGCCTAGTACCTAGAAAAACTCTGGATTAAATTCTAGCACAGTCGTTCATGAATGCTATGACTTGCAAGTTGTCAGATCTATCTAAACTTCAGTTTCTGAGGAGTTAGTTATGCCACACGTGAAGTTAGTGGTGCACTGTTTAGTATGTAATAGGTGTTGAAAATGTTAGTTTCCCATGGCCCCTTGCCTTATATTTTGTGAAGATTCAGTTCTCTTTCTTCTTTCTCTTCCTCCTCTTGCTTCTCCTCTCCCTTCTTCTTTCCTCTTATTTTTAATCACACGGGGGGGAAATAGGGAATAGCGAAAGTAACATCCACAGCAAAATTTAGAAGCAAAATGCACTTTGACAGGTTATAAGCTTTTTTTTCTTAATTGAATGACTCTGAATTATGCACGGTAAACATAATTGCTGCTACTTATAGAGATGGCTGTTTAGCTAAGACATCAGTATAGTACTTTTAGCTCTTGTTTTCCATTGTTTTATAGAGGAAGTTAATCACCTTGCTCTTTGAAATTTAGACACCTAATGCTCCAACAGGAGCATAGTAAGGATTTGCTGATTTCAGGGGGTTGCCGAGTCTGAGATTTATTTCTGAGATTCTCCCACCTAATTAATGCTCAGTCTTCAGAGTCTCTGCCGCTTGGGAGATTTGTTATTATCACAGGCACTGCAGAAATATTGCCTTGGTCAAGAGAAGAGTCTCTGGTGCCAGACAACCTTTTTTCTCACATTCTGACTCCACCATTTTCTAGATGTTTGACCTTGTGCCAGTTATTTAATCTCAGGTTACTTATCCCTAGAGTGGAGATAGTCATAATTGTACATAATGCTTAAAGCTGTTGTGAGGACTAAAGAAAATCGTATGTGCGATACACTTAGAACAGTGTGTGCATATTCTGATTGTGAATGCGTATTCTTCTTATGGCTAGTATTACCATTCATTGCACATAAAAAACATGCTAATTAGAGGAGTTTAGAGCCCTTAAAAAGAGATTCCTTTTTCCAGGAAAGAACTTCTAAATATTTTTCTTCAATCACAGTTTGTTTGTTTGTTTGTTTGATTGTTTGATTGTTTGTTTTTTCGGGTGCCCCAAAATTTCATTCAAAATCTCCTTTTCTTGAGTATTTTAGTCTTCATAGAAAACCTCAGGGATGATGTATAGTGGAAATTTTCTTTGTTAAAACATTGCTTTTTGCTTTAAAAAAATTTGTATCAGATGCTTTGCAGGGAAATAAAGCCTTAGTTCAAACAGAAAATTGTTAAGAAGTAAGTCATTTTTGTTAATTTTTTCTCAATTTTTAAGAATTCAGTATATCACAAGGTGATTTTGTAAACTGTTGAGTTTGTTGATGCATTTTTATCTTTGCTTTTTCCTACTTTCTAATTTCAAATTCAACTTCAGTCAGTTACTCATGCTTTTAACTATTCTTAAAAAGAAAGATTAAAATAAAGATTTTAAATGATCAACCAACGGCTCTTTTGTCATTTTTGCTTCCTTGCTGTATGGTTCAATGATATTTTTTTCCGATTTTTGTTAAGCAAATGACTTGAGTCACATTTTTCTCTTTCTACCTGAAAGAGCATTTAATTCTGTCCTAGTAATGAGAGAAAACAAACAAACAAAAAGAAAGCTTAAAAACTTTAATCTATAAAGCATTTTCCTTGGTAAATAGATGTAGCTGAAAGTCCCAATTGCGTACTAGATTTTAGCAGATGAAAATTCTCTACTGTGTGGAGTTGGGCAACTTCCAAAGTCGAGTGCCTTTTCATAACAGCATCAAATCCCGGGTGCTTAGAGGAACCTGGCTTTCTCAAACCACTTCTAAACGAACATTGCTTCTGAACTGCCATGTTTTTTCTGATCTAGATGGATCCAATTTGGAGATGAGGTTAATGAATGGAGGGAATCGGTGTTCTGGAAGGATAGAGATCAAATTCCAAGGACAGTGGGGCACAGTGTGTGATGACAACTTCCACATAGACCATGCTTCTGTGGTTTGCAAACAGCTCAAATGTGGAGATGCCATCAGTTTCTCCGGTTCCGCTAATTTTGGAGAAGGCTCTGGACCCATCTGGTTTGATGATGTTGCCTGCAATGGAAACGAGTCTGCTCTCTGGAACTGTAAACACGAAGGGTGGGGAAAGCATAACTGCGACCATGCCGAGGACACCGGTGTGATTTGCTCAGGTAAGGACTGGGCCCCTCTGTCTTCCACAAGAAGACAGAAAAGCAAGTCGCTAATCTCATGAGACTGAACTCTTCAGAGCATAAAGAAGTCTGCTTCCTTTGTCACCTCATTTCAACCTCATTTTGGGGTACCAGTTCTGATAACCATGGATTCTTACCTTAACTGAAATGAGGAAACGTAGGTTAGGGAAGGACAGTGAAACTGACAACCGTGTCAGAGGAATGGGAGGAAGCGGCCAGGGTGGTGGTTCACACCTATAATCCCAGCACTTTGGGAGGCTGAGTCGGGAGAATTGCTTGAGCCCAGAATTTTGAGACCAGCCTGGGCATCATAGCAAGGCCACTTCTCTACAAAATTCAAAAACAAATAAGCCAGGCATGGTGGCACATGCCTGTGGCCCCAGCTACTCAGGAGGCTGAGATAGAAGGCTAGCCTGAGCTCAGGAGATAGAGGCTATGGTGTGCTGTGATCGTGCCACTGCACTCCAGCCTGGGCAACAGAGTGAGACTCTAACTCAAAAAAAAAAAAAGAATGGAAGGAAGTGTTTAGAAAAAGTTCATACAGAACATAAAGAGAGGAAGGCAGGACTTTTTCTCCACGTCTGGAACTGATGTTCGATTGTTTGTTTGTTGCTGAATGGTGTGGCCATCCATAGCCTAAACAACAATGAATGGGATTCCTCAGTTAGCTGAAGAAAGCAAAAAGGATTTGGGGCAGGAAAAGAACACACAGAATGTTCTTCCCATTCTCTCTTACTCATCAAAATTTGCCTAGGCCCCCAGTCAGCACATGCTGAGAAATCACGATAAGTAAGACTAATGGAAGGAAGAGAAAGTAAAACTGCCAGAGGGAAAAAGCAGTTTGTTTTCTTACTGGATGCTCTTCAGAATTCAGGTCAGTTCTTTGAGGAATATTGATTTGGGGAAGGTAGGAGTAGTCATGGAGAAGTCTCCTTCTCTCTTTGTTCTGTTAAACCAAGGAAGTGGTCACAAACACAAACTAGACAGCATCCACGGAGAATACAGCCAGAGGCAGAAGGGAGTGTTGAGTGTCAAATATATTCTAACAAGCAAAAGTAAACAATTTCCACATAAACTCTGTGGTGGTCCATAACCAGATCTCTAGATAAATTTCAGCCCCCAGACCTCTCGTTGGGACTTTTTGCAGTGCTGTCTACGCTGAAAAGTTCTGTCTTCTGTTCCTCTGGGTATATTCCCAAGAGAGGGCTTGCTGGATCATCACAATAGCAGAAAGGTGGAACCAACCCTGCTGCCCATCAAAAGTGGACTGGTTAGAGAAAATATGGTACATATACATTATGCAGCCATAAAGAACAAAATCAAGGCCTTCACAGCAACTTGGAAGCAGTTGGAGACCATGATACGAAGTGAACACTCACAGCAATAAAGAACTGAATGCCACATGTTCTCACGCATGAGTGGGCCCCGAACACTAGCCACAGTGTGCAGGGTGGGATTGGCCATCACTGGGCACTGCTAGGGGAGGGAGGGAGGAGGGTGGAGGGACGCATGACAATGCCAAGGGGGTGTGAGAGCCACCTAGAAGCCCAGCCCTCGCCTCCATGCAGTCTGCTCAGGTAGTCAGCCCTCACTCGGACCCCACAGCTCTGTGGCACATAAATAAGTGCTTGCAGTCCCACCCTTTGACTGACCCACCCCTCCCTCCATCTCTAGTGACTTTTAGCAGCCATCCATCACATGGTGGCTTTCTCTGCCTCTGCTCGGACCTCTCCCTTTTGCCTCGGCTCATCTCAGGAGCAGCGGTTCATGGTTCCTTCGCTCCTGTTTCCTCACCACAGGTGTGCTGTGTGTGTCTCTGTTCCAGATGGAGCAGATCTGAGCCTGAGACTGGTAGATGGAGTCACTGCATGTTCAGGAAGGCTAGAAGTAAGATTCCAAGGAGAATGGGGGACAGTGTGTGATGACGGCTGGGACAGCAAAGATGCCGCCGTGGTGTGTCAACAACTGGGATGCCCAACTGCCGTCACTGCCGTCGGGCGAGTTAATGCCAGCGAGGGATCTGGACACATCTGGCTTGACAGCGTTTCTTGCCAGGGGCATGAAGCTGCCCTCTGGCAGTGTAAACACCATGAATGGGGGAAGCACTATTGCAACCATAATGAAGATGCTGGTGTGACGTGTTCTGGTAAGTCAGAGCAAAACTAAACAAACCAACAAAACAAAACAAAACAGAGAGCCAAAGACCTGTGCACCTCAAGAGGAGGAAAGAGATGTGAGATAGGAAAGGTAGAAACTCCTGATAAATTCCTTGCCAAGAATTCCTTCACAGTTGCCAGGAATCGTTGGTATGTTCTTTATTCAACCAGTTTGGAGGGTTGTCTGAATCTATTTCGGTGATAAATATTAAGATTGCCATTAAGAACCACACCTCAAACTCTAAAACTACCTGGAGCTCAGGGAGACAAAATTTTATCGAAATCTCATTTAAAGCCGAATTGCTCATATTTTTCTACCACTGGAAATTTTTATTAATGCTTGAAGCTACATTCTCATTTCTCACAAAATTTATGATCTATACTATTATTTCTTAAAAGTTCAGGAAATAAGTAAACCATGGTTTCCAATGGCTAGGTATCAGAGATGATACAAAAATACCCTTTAGAAACTCACCTCCATGTGTATCTGTGGCTTTGGTTTATATTTCTTTTGCAGATGGATCAGATCTGGAGCTCAGACTTAAAGGTGGAGGCAGCCGCTGTGCTGGGACAGTTGAGGTGGAAATTCATAGACTGTTAGGGAAGGTGTGTGACAGAGGCTGGACACTGAAAGAAGCAGAGGTGGTTTGCAGGCAACTGGGGTGCGGATCTGCACTTCAAACCTCCTACCAGGTGTATTCCAAAGTCAAGGAAACAAGCACATGGTTGTTTGCAAATGACTGCAGTGGGAATGAAACTTCTCTCTGGGACTGCAAGAACTGGCAGTGGGGTGGACTTCCCTGCAATCCCTTCGAAGAAGCCAAAGTCACTTGCTCAGGTATGACTTTCAATCAACTCATTATGAAGAGTGGCAACTTCCAGTGGTACCCTTGAAACTGAAAAGTAGCATTGGTCCCCGTGACTAGATTGCTCTTCTCAAGAAACCAGAAAATACCCATACGAATTCCACTGTGAGAGTCTCAGATAATTCTCAGTTCCTCTTGTACCTGAGATAGAAGTGTTTGGTTTTTGCTCACTTTGGCTTTTGAGTGATTTTTTAAATCAAAGGAAGTATAGGTGATTACGAAAGATTTAAAATATTTGCTTTAATTTATTTTAAAGATGTGGGGTGCAATTCAGGATTAGGTACACAAGTGGTCATCATACAAGTAAAATTTGGGCCTACCTTAAAAATTTTAAGGTAGAATTAGACATGTTTTTCAAGGGATGTCACCAGATGATTTTTTAAATGGCTATGCTGGATAAACTAACATGACTAAAGCTCCTTCTGTAATACTGTGAAAGAATTTTCTTCTTTCTGAACTTCTGTGGATATTTCACTACAATCGCTTTAAAAAGCTCAAAAGTGAGCTGTGAGTTGGTTAGGCTTGTGGGTAATCTTAGTATTTTGTGCTTGTCATATTTATACAAATGCTAACTTTGTTGAAAAGTGAGGCCCTTTCAGCAGCTCTAAGGTAAACATCACCATGACTCGTGACGTGAAAAGACTTCAGAGAAAATAGTGAAAGAGAAGGCCATGACGCACGTGGAAACCTCGTCACAGGGAGGAAATTTTCTCGTGCTGCGTTTCCACTAGCCAGCCATATTGTTCCAGATAATTCCCATCCCACACGTGGACCTAGGGGCACTCCCTTGCTGTTACAAACTGTGTTTATACTCTGATTAAGTGGAAATTACCCTCCCACTGAAAAAGAACAATCATTTAATATATATTTTTAAATTGCTATATTGCCTTTTTAAAACTTTTCTTAACCAGGCAATAAATTCACGTAGTGTAAATTTCAAAATATGAGAGTATAAACTCTTGCCCCACTATGGTCCTCAACTGTTCAATTCTTTTCCTCATAGACAACTTATGTGACTGGGATATTTCTATATTGTTTAAGAGATATTTTATGTATATACAAGAAAATACAAGCAAATCCATAGATGGGTATCACTCCCTTTTATTCAAACAGTGGCCTATATTATATAACTTGTTTTGAACCCTAAGGATTCACATAGTAAAATTTCTTGATCACAGTTTTATGATAGTATGTAAAGAGTGCTCTGAAATTATTTCTGTATTTATAGCAATTATCTCATCACCTATTGCTGTATGTTTTCACTTAATCTTTGATAAGATTAGCCATTGCTTTAGCTTAATTTTTGCTTGTTTTATTTTTTTAAAACTGCCAATTTTTTTTTCTCTTTTAATTTTTTTATTTTAAAGATGTGGGGTACAATTCAGGATTAGGTATACAAATGTTTATTATGCAGGTGCCCTTGTTGATGAGGTGTGCCCCCCTTCCCCAGGCAGATTCCCACTACTGCCAATCCTTTTCTATAGCATTGCAATAATTGTTCAAGGCTGAGTGAGAACAGGTGATACTCAGTTCTTTGTTTCTGTGACACATCACTCAGTATTATAGACTCTAAGTCCATCCAGGTTGCTGTGAAGTTCATCATTTTGTCCTTCTTTATGGCTGCGTAATATTCCATTGTATATATGTCCCACATTTTTTTATCCAGTCCTCTTTTGATGGGTAGCACGTTTGGTTCCATGTTCTTGCTACTGTGAACAATGCTGCGATAAACATATTTGTGCAGGTATCTTTTTCATCGAGTGATTTGAGTTCTTCCGGGTATATTCCCAGTAAGAGGATTGCAGGGTGGTATGGAAGGTGGATGTTTAGATCTTTTAGGAATCGCCACACTGTTTTCCACAGACAGCCTAATTTTTTTAAGGATCAGCATTTGGATTTTTTTAAATGAATGCTACCTTTATTTACTTTCTAATGTATTAAAATCTTGTTTTCTTTCCACTAATTCTCTTCTGATTTCCTAAACTCAGTTTTCCTTTTGGCCTCTAACTTCTTGAGTTGGATGTGAAGTATTATTCTTTTGGATTTATTCCCACAAATAGTTTAGGTTTTCCACTGGATGCATCAGCAGCTATACCATAGAACTGATACATCCATGCTTGGTCCATCTAAGGACATAGGTCTTTCTACATTGTGTGTTGTGTAATCATAGTGAATTGATCTTTTCTGTTTTATAAAGTTTCCATCTTTCTATTAGTGAATATTTTTTGTTCTGAATCAGACTCTTCTGGCATTAATGCTGCTATAAGACTACTGCTTTATTTGTTTTCTATTCTCTATTTTTTATTCCATATGAATCAGTTTTAAGCTCATTACTTGTACTCATCATAGAACTGGCACATATTTTTTTTAAAGGACTCTGATTGAATTACCTTTTGAAGATGAGTGTTACATGGAAGTCCCCAACATACAAGCGGATTCTGTTCCAAGAGTGCATTCGTAGGTCCAATTTATTTTAAGCAACCAACACAATTGGCTATATAGTACTGTATATATTACATGCATCTTTAAAGTTTGTAACTTGAAGGTTCGTGTGTAAGGGACTTACTGTATTTGATCTTTGTGTATTGTTATGTTGTAATATTATGTATACATAATATGTATCATCATTTTATGTATTACGCTAAAAGATTTTACTATATGAAATTCTGTAAGAGCGTTGCATGCATGAGGACATGTAGAAACATACATAATGTCTACTAATGTCCGAAATTTGGAAAGGCTTGTATACTTTTCTATTCATTGTATTTATATTAACTACCATTAAGTTCTGCTGCATCTAAAAGAAAACCAAGCAGCCGCGGCTGAAGAAAGACAGTGTTTACTTTTTTCCCATTTATAAGTCAAACAGGTAAGTCTAGGACCATGCTGGTGGCTCTGTGGTCGCCGGGAAACCTCCAGAATAGATTTTCTGTGACAATCATCAAATCCCACCGCACTGGAAGGAAGCGCTGCCGCGGACTCAGCAAGCTCCTTGGTAAGCCGGCCCGGTGCTGCCCTCTGAGAAGCTGTCTTCTGTCCGTGGTCCCAGCACTGTCCTCAGGGCGTTTCCCCCTGGTGCGTTATTCTTCGTCGCTGGTCTGGGCTTGGCTTGGAGCCGGCATCTGTCCGGAGACAGCACGTCTTTCACCGTCTACTTTCCGCTAGTGGTGGGTTGGGGCCCTTCGAACTGGTTTAAAGATTGAGTAACAGCTGGCTGGTGTCCACTGTCCTAGAGGTGAACAAAAAAGTTCTCCCCAAAGCCAGCAGGCTCCTAGTCTATCCGCTTTAAGCCCACGCCGTGTGAACATCACTACAACCAAAGAGCGTCTTTCCATGCTTTGCTCTATGCTGTGACCAACTCTTCCTTTTGGGTATTGATGGCTCCGTGAAGGCCGTTTGACCCTGTGGGCGTGGAAGGGAAGATAAGACCTCAATTCTGTCATGGCTGGTGGACTCACTGTCTTCCTATGTGGGTCATCAACTCTATCTTCAGCTAAGGCTGCCATTTTATCACAGCTCAATCTGGGAGACAGGACCCCTGCAAGTTCTAAGTTACAGGGGTCTCAGTTAACTGTATACAACAGCTACAGCAGAGTTTATCTCCCCGGTGAAATGGGCATTTCGCCTCTTGTTTCTGCTTGCAGTCTAACTACTTGCAGTCTGAGTTTCTCTCTAAGTGCTGAAAGTGGCACGGTGGGGGCGGTGGTCCAGATTCATGCAAATATTCTGATTTGTTTTCTTTGTACTTTGCCCAAGAAATTCTCCTTTTCTTTTTTAGCCTTAGGGAACACCTTTTTTTTTTAATTTTCAAAGTGATATTTACCCAAATATTTTACCATAGCTAACAAAACTTAGTAGCTTTTCAGCCTCCCATATCGGAGTTTTTAGTCTGCTCTGCCCATCGACTCCAGTCAACCACACCTACATTTTAGGTTTCATTTCTTGTCGACCTCGCTTATGGTGACACTGTGATTTGCTGTGCTCTTTTGCTTCCTTTCGCAGACTCTTTCTGTTACATGTCTGTAGACTTGGAAGTTCTTCTTTTTCTTTGGAGGCCTAGTTTTAGTTCTTTATTTGTTTTGCTAGCATTATAGTTTGCTATTCTGTTTTTTATTTACTTAATACTGTCACAATATTTCCAAGAGAACAAAGATGAGCATGCTGTCTCTGTGCCTGTCAAATTTAAGCTACAAGTCCTTAAATAGTTTGTTTAAATTCTTAAATTTTTACTTAGCACAGGGCTATACAGCTGAAAAGGACCAAAAGAATACAATGAAGCAAGAAAATTAGAACTATAATGCAACAATTTATCTCTAATGTGTGGTTTAGGCAAACCAGCCAGAAAGAGGTCTAGAATGTTGTTCCCAAAATTACTTTGAATCCCAGATGTTTTATTTGTAACATTTGTGTATGTTCTGTAGAGGACATCTGATCTTAAGAATCAGTTCACTGGAGTTGCGTTGCACTGTTGCTTAGGTTTGAGAAATAATTCTGAGATTATAATGACCCATATTTTTTCAGAGTCTGGAAGGCACTAAAATATAAAAATGCATTAGTACTTATTATTTTAATCATATTGCATATTTCATGTATTACTAAACAAAAGGAAGTAATTATATACATATATACATGTATATATACATATATGCTTTTTCCTAGAGAAAGAAAGAAAGAAATATAGTTGCAGTTACTTATGTCAGGGCAAAACTGAATTTGTTGATAAATGAAACTGAATCCAAGTGCAAAAATTTGCTTAATGGCTTTTATGTAAAAATGCAGTCACAAATTTAGCAGGAAAAAAATCCCTTAAAAAGATAAATTTCTAATATTCTAAACATGTATAAAGAGTTATGATATAAGGGAAACAATTCACGATATGGATTATATGTTACTAGCATATTAATGAAATAAAGGCAGAGGATGGATTCTCCAAGTACTTTTTTAGTGGGAGAATTTCTCCTCTATCTTGACTCAAATATTTTAGGACAAAGAAAACAAAATAATACTTATAAAATGCACTTGTTTTCAATTGCTTAACACATTTTCACCATGAAAGAGAAAATATTTAATTTTTTATTTTTTTTCACTGGTTGTGTTTTGCTTTATTTTGTTCAGGATGGATCCAGATCAAAGAGTGAGAAGTTATGAGAATCCTGAATTTAGCCGAGTCTAAAGACTTTATTTAAAGACTTTATTTTTAAAGACTTAAGCGTGTCCAAAAGTGGAATGGGATCATATGAATATTAGTTGATAATATGCTAGAGAAATTTTATGCTCAAATAATGATTCAAAAAGAAGAAATTAAGAACCACCCAACTCAAGACTCATTAATTATTTGTACTGTAGATGCATTTGCTTTAAACTCTGAGCTGTGTTTAGAAAATGACATTTCTTCATCACAAATTTGGGTATAGATTTACTTTGCATGAATTTAATAGATACTTTGTGACATTTTGGCATGCTGAGATATTCTATATTGCTATATAACAGAATATAGTCATATTCAGAACATTTTTAAGACATTTCAGTATAAGTGAAAAAATTTATAAGATCTGAAGAGAAACCAGAGTATGAAAATTGGCAAGGGCTAATTGTGGTGATAGTTACATCAAGGGATCACAAAAATTGTTGATATTTGACTGTAGACATCTGTTAAGGACTTATGCCCTTCAGAATGTCCAATTTTGAATGCATTTTCTTTCTTTAAACATGAGCTAAATGAAATAGCTTTTTTAATCTCCCAAGTAATTGAAGTTTTCTCAGTATATTAAAAGAAACTTATATTTGATGATTGTCTTCCTTAACTTGACAAAGACTGCCTTCATAATATGAGTTTCATCTCTTATTTCTGTTGTCTTATCATTCTATTATAATTTCCAGCCATACTGCAATTATAAGTAACTTATGTATAATTATAAGTTACTTATAATTCCTCATTTTCATCATGCTATTTTATTACTATAGTCTTTAAATGATGTTTCAAATATTGTGGATTTGGCAAACTCATCTTTTATCAAAACCCATTCAGATTTATAGTATCTTCTCTTACATAGCCCCAGACAGAATGGATAAACTCCTTTATTTGTTAGTTTTGCATCTAGCACATATTTCTATTTTGGGACTCCATCTTTTGAACATGTATATCTTGTACTAAACTGTGGGTTCTTGGGGGAGATCATGATTAATGAAATATTGAGCAAACTTGAAAAGAATAGGTCTTTTCCCAGGTACATAAGGGTAAGGAAATACATTAGTAGAGAGAAAAGTTTCTGCAGTGGCATAAAAGCTTGAAAACGTGTGGCATGATATGACTATGATTATTAGTATTAATCTTAGTGTTATCTATGTTCACTGACAGATTAGGCTCTGTGGCAGACTTTTTAGCCCATCCAACCTCAAAAACTAAAACAGAGACAATCAACACTGTAGATGCTTCATGATATTTTTGGAAGGTTAAATTGAACAAATTGTAAGTAAACATTAAGTTATCTTAAAGAAAAAAGTCACATGAATTTGAAAGTTAATCGTATATTTGGAGCCATGACATAAATTTCTTGGAAAAAGCATTTAGAAGCAAGGAAACAACTTAGGGAGCTATTTCAAGAGTCTATTTGACAGAAGATGACAAATTACATCAAAACCGGAGCAATAAATATGGGAAAGGAGAAATGTGCCAGAGGACTGACAGATATTGGTGGTTTTCTGCATGTATCAGGCATTGTGTGGCCTGGAATTCTAAGTTCCGGAATATATGGCCTGGCTTCAAATTCTGGCTTCAAATTCTCACTAACTCGCTATGTGACCACCGCAAATTTCTACACCTCTCTAAGCTTCAGTCTCCTTGTCTGCTACATTGGAGTAGTATTAATACTTATCTCCTAAAACAATTTTAAGGATTAAATAAAATAATGTTTGCAAAATGTTTATTAGAGTGTCAAGAATATAATAGCTGCTCACTTGATGTTCACCACTGTCATTATTACCATTGTTTGTGATGAGAAAGAGATTCTATTTTAAATGTTTCCTTTTGGGGGGGGTACCAAATTTCTTTATTTGAAGGAATGGTACAAATCAAAGAACTGAAGTGGACATTTTGGTGCAACCTATTAAATGTATCTAATTTGGTCTGGATATCATTAATTGGGTAAAGAATACAGTTGACTTGCCATACAATACACAAAGTCATACAATTCATTCTATTTTGAAAACCTTAATGCCAGACGTCCAAGTAGATATGTTTATGGACATAAAATTAAAGAAAAATTAAAGGCTTATTGGCACTTGAGAGGTGTCTATTGAGAGGATGAGAAGGTTCAGGATACAACCTTGACTCCAGGAGTACAGGAAGTGTTTTGAGAAGGCCATTTCAGAAAAAGAAGGAGGAGAAAACACGAGGAAGGAGGGTCATATATGCACATGTCAAGTGTATGAGAGGTCAAAAAGAAGAAGTCTGATATGCATTTTGAAAATTGGAATACTGTAAGAAAGGGATTGGCAGTTGAGGGAAACTGCTAGGGGAGGGAGGGCCATACCTCATCAACAACGGTATCTACATAATCAAGGTTTGTATACCTAACCTTGAATTGTACCCCACATCTTTAAAATAAAAGTCTAGTGTTTACAAAAGCAGAACGAACTTCAGAGGCACCACTGGGATTCAAACCCAGGATCTCCTGTATACTAGACAGACACTTTAACCAACAAAGTCATGCTTCCTGCCGAGGGTCTCTTGCCGTCTTATTTCCTTGGCCAGGTCAGCTTCACAGTAGGTGAGTGAATATTAAAAAAAGAAAGAAAATTGGAAGTATATTGGACAACTTTGATACAACCATTAGAAAAGGTTGAGGCAAACTCCAGATGGCAGTGAGTGGAGGATTGAGTGAAGGACTAGAAGTCCGAGAAAAACAGTCGATACACAATGTTTGTGGCCTCTAATTTTATGAACAATGTCAGCGAAATGTTGGGAGGACAGAGTTATCATTGCCTCTGGGGAAGGCTGGCTGCACAGGAAAGTTCCAGAATTCTCTCAGAAGGAATGAGAGGAATGAGAGGTCTAGAATTTGCTGTGCCCAACTCTAGACAGAAAAGCCAAGAGGAAACGAGAACCCTGGCCTCCTGTCTCACTCCTGTCCCTCTTCCTCACCCTCATTGTGAAGGAACGTCTTGGAATCATGCCTTGCCTCACTAAAATGTTATTCAATTTTCAGCCCACAGGGAGCCCAGACTGGTCGGAGGGGACATTCCCTGCTCTGGACGTGTCGAAGTGAAGCACGGTGACACATGGGGCTCCGTCTGTGATTCTGACTTCTCTCTGGAAGCCGCCATGGTACTCTGTAGGGAATTACAATGTGGCACGGTCGTCTCTATCCTGGGGGGAGCTCACTTTGGAGCAGGGAAGGGACAGATCTGGGCTGAAGAATTCCAGTGCAGCGGGCACGAGTCCCACCTTTCACTCTGCCCAGTCGCACCCCGCCCGGACGGAACATGCGGCCACAGCAGGGACGTCGGAGTCGTCTGCTCAAGTGAGACCCAGAGGACTCCTTCCATCTGTTTCCACACTGTGAAGGAGGTTGGGTTAGGTAGCCGCAGCCATTCTTTCTAACGCCCTGTCTCCTTCCAGGATACGTAGAAATCCGCCTGGTGGATGGCAAGTCCCCCTGCGAGGGAAGAGTGGCGCTCAAGACGCTTGGGAGCTGGGGACCCCTCTGCAGCTCTCACTGGGACCTGGAAGACGCCCACGTGCTCTGCCAGCAGCTTCAATGTGGAGTGGCCCTCTCGACCCCAGAAGGAGCCCACTTTGGGACGGGAAGTGGCCAGGTCTGGAGGCACATGTTTCACTGCACCGGGACTGAGCAGCACATGGGAGACTGTCCTGTCACCGTGCTGGGTGCGTCACTGTGTCCTCCGGGGCAAGTGGCCTCTGTAATCTGCTCAGGTAAGAGGATGGATGAAGCTCTCCCATGCTGGTGTGCTTTAAGAGCAGGTGCACCTGCAGGGGTGAAGAGCCAAAATCCAAGACAATGATCCCCTCTGAAGCGTTGGGAGACGCCTGTCTAATGCTAACCTCATTTGTCTTTTCAGAGGATGAGTGAGCTTGATTTTCACGGACTTCGATTACCTAGTGCTTGCTATGCATCAAACCCCTCTCAAAGTGCTAGATGTATTCCCAGTCTGGTTGACCCATCCACCTTCCTCTCTCTCGGAAGCTATGTTTGCGCTCAACTCACCCGTGTCACCCTCCATCTGGCCTCCTTTCCTCACCCTAACCTTTTGTAGCTTGTATGACTGAGCAGCTTGGTGTTTGCAGGAAACCAGTCCCAGACACTGTCCCCCTGCAATTCATCATCTTCGGGCCCAACTCGCCCTACCGTTCCAGCAGGAAGTGCTGTTGCGTGCATAGGTGAGAACCTGCGACCAGTCTGTGGCAATGCTCTCCAACCTGAGGCGGGCATGTGGCTAACATGGCCGTGTCTCTTTCCAGAGAGTGGGCAACTTCGCCTGGTGGATGGAGAGGGCCGCTGTGCAGGGAGGGTGGAGGTCTACCACGAAGGCTCCTGGGGCACCGTCTGTGATGACAGCTGGGACCTGAGAGACGCCCGCGTGGTGTGCCGGCAGCTGGGCTGTGGAGAGGCCATCAATGCCACTGGTTCTGCTCATTTTGGGGAGGGGACGGGGCCCATCTGGCTGGATGAGCTGAGCTGCGATGGAAAAGAATCCCGAGTGTGGCAGTGCCGTTCGCATGGCTGGGGGCAGCACAACTGCCGGCACAAGGAGGACGCGGGAGTTATTTGCTCAGGTAAGGTGTGCATGTCATTCGGTCACAGTGACATCTCAGGGTGTCGCCAAAAAGCCCAGGATCATCTTTTTGGAGGGCGGGCCCCTTATAGGACAGGCTTTGCCCACTCAACACATATTCTAGGAACCCCCTGGCATCAGGGTGCCAGTTAAGGTTTCTGTGAGAGGCTGCGTTGGGCTTCAGTGAAGTGTGTAGGTACATATATTCCCACGTCACAATGAGTGATTTACAAGCGCATCTGCCCACACTACGCCGAGAGTTCAGCAGTTTTGGGCCCAAGACTATATGACCCCTGTCCCCTACCCTTTCTAGTCACCCCATCTTGCTCCAAGCAACTTTTTGTGTTTCCCTGGATGAAAAAAAGTTCTCCAAGGGAAACGTTTTGCCGGCGTGGAAGAGGTGAAGCAAAAAATGCCAGAAGCACTCTAAGGCATCAGAATAGACTCAGAAACCATTTTGAGCAGTGGGGAAAGCATCTCATTCGGTATAGTGTGTCAGATGGGGAATACTTTGAAGGTGTTTAAGCATGTAAGAACAAATACACAATTTTTTATAAATAAAGTCTGGGGTTATTTGGGTCCCTCCTCACATAAAAGGACTGTGGTAAGGCAAAGGGCAGTGAGGGATGTTCATATGGAAGATTTCCCGGAAAAGCAAGTTCAAAAGGAACTGTTGTGAGAGTCTGGATCCCAGAAGCATGTATTTGATGAGCTAGTGCTGCTTCATGCACAAGGTAGTATAACATTACAAAGAGAAAGATCCAGAAATGGGCTCCCGTATCATGGAAATGACAGCAAAACTAATAACGAAGGATACTGGGTAGACATCCAATGGCACCACTTGATAGCGGCAGGTTAATGAACAAGTAGATTGACAAGGATAAGAAGAAATGTGTATGGTACATTATTTTACAGAAAAGAAGATAATTACCCAGCCCAAGTAATTTTTCATGGCAGATAGATGAGACTTACTTGTCACAGGACTGAACTGCCATAAGAGGCTACTGTTCTTGCTTGGTATGCATGGCTAGTTTTAGAAAATATTCTGAAATGGAAAAATGTACTCCTGTAATGTATTTGGGAAAACGGTACTATGACTCAGTAACTTAGGGAAGTGAAAAATTCTGTATGTCAAGATGTGGTTTATTTCTATCTAATGTTATAAATTTGGTGGAAGACGTGCACAGAAACACTGTGACATGTCAGAAAAGCAACTATGTTATTTTAACAGAATGTGCACAAACCATTGATTTTAGTACCTGAGTGTCTCACTAAATTTTAATTATCATGTGAGAGAGAAAGAGAAAAAAAAAAGAAAGGAAGAAAGAGAGAGAGAGAGAGAGACAACAGCATGTTCTTGGGAGAAAATTCAAACTATATAATTGAAAAAAGTATCCTGAGCCTTTGACTGAGATCTGGAAAGCATCTCAAATCACCAATGGTGATCAAAAGAGGCCTCAAGGGCAAAGCTCAAGGCCATGAAGCCAAAAGGCAACTATAGAATAAGTAGTATACTTTATGAAAATCTGTGATGCTATCTAGAAGTTTCTAAAGGAAGTTAGTAGCAATCGACATATTGTACCCATTTTTAAGCCATTTTCACATAAGAATAAAGGGAGGGAGTCTTCTGAGTCTCCAGAAAAGATGTGAAACTACTAAATTCTGTGTTTCACTGCAGAGTTCATGTCTCTGAGACTGGCCGGTGAAACGGGTGGAGAGGCCTGCACCGGACGTCTGGAAGTTTTTTACAACGGAGCATGGGGCAGCGTTGGCAGAGGCGGCATGTCTGCGACCACTGTGGGGGTGGTGTGCAGGCAGCTGGGCTGTGCGGACAAAGGGCAGGTCAGCCCTGCACCTTCAGACCAGGCGGTGTCCACCATGTGGGTGGACGATGTCCAGTGTCCAAAAGGGCCTGAGACGTTGTGGCAGTGCCCATCCTCTCCGTGGAAGCAAAGGCGAGCCAGCCCCTCCGAGGAGACTTGGATCACGTGCAGCAGTGAGTGTCCTCCTGAAAGCCCTGTACAGCAACTCCACTACTGTCTTCTGAGCAAGCACTTTAGGTTCTGTTTTCCTAGTCTCATGCCAGCTCAAATTTGTGGATCTAACTAAGCAAGACGGGGCAAATTCTTGGCAATGCCTACCCCACCTGGACTGTGTAGTGGGTTTTATTGAATTTGGCTCGTAGATGTTCAGGATCCATGATCATTATTCCAAAAAGTATCTTAATCCCCCCCCCACCGTCTCCTTGAAAGTGTTGTTCAATCGCTTTCACTGTGGACAAATTAGGAGCAGAGAATGTGTGATTTGGCATTTGACTATTGAATGGTCTACCACAGCTTTCCCATTTTCTCTCAGATATTAGCTGGTTACATTAATATAAGGGGAAAAGAAGTCAGAAGGATCAGTCCTGCAGTAGTTCCCCGTTCTATGTCTTCCTAAATCTTTCTATCTACCGGGCAGTCTCCCAGGCTCTTTACTATTTGGAAGAACGTTGTATGTTTTTAAAACATTAACTATTCACTCAACATTCCTGAGTCACACTATGCTTCTTATGTCCAAGATGAAATATGCCTAGTTTGCTGGAATGACCTATGCTCTCATAAAAGATAAATTTTGTAAAAATATACATTTTAAAATGCACATCAAATAAAGTTTGAAAATAGATTTTTAAAAAAGAGTTCCAAATCTCTTTTCTCCTCTGTGACCTCTTAGAAGCTTTTATCTTCTTAAAAATAACCCACACCTCTGATGTTTTCAGACAAGATAAGACTGCAAGACGGAACCACTAAGTGTTCCGGACGTGTGGAGATCTGGCACGGAGGATCCTGGGGGACAGTGTGTGATGACTTCTGGGACCTGGATGATGCCCAGGTGGTGTGTCGCCAGCTGGGCTGTGGTCCCGCTTTGCAGGCACTAAAAGAAGCAGAGTTTGGCCAGGGCACCGGGCCCATATGGCTCAATGAGGTGAAGTGCAGAGGGAATGAGTCTTCCCTGTGGGACTGTCCTGCCAGACGCTGGGGCCACAGCGAGTGTGGGCACAAGGAAGATGCTGCTGTCAACTGCTCAGGTGAGTGCAGACGCCTGGGCTGAGCTTGGAATCTCAGGCAACAAAAGGAGGACAGGTGGTTACATGTATTGTGTAAAGACCAGACTTACCAACACAGGGATCCGGTGAGCGAAAGAGCTGTGATCTTTCTGTCTGGAAGAAGGAAGAAAACACATGTGGTCATACATTGACCTTCACCAAAGAAAAGCGTATGATCCATATATATCCCTGTGCAGAGGGGGAAAGAGGACCAGAGGACTCTACTCATTGGTGGGGAAGAGTAGCTTACTTGACTGAGAAGCACTGAGGGCTCAGACAAAGGCATTCAGAGTGTTTGATTTAGACATTATTCCCAGAATTAAACCTCTCTCTTTTCTCCCACAGAAATTCCAAGTCCCAGAAAATTACAAAAGGACGCAGGTATATCATGGGGTTTATGAATGAGGGACCAATTATCTGCTTTACCTGCATTGCTCAGCATCCTTGTTTAGCGACTTTGGGTCAGAAGACATTCTGAGGGTTGGAGATTCACTTCCGGGATCCTGTGTGTGACCTAAGAGAGCCTTAGTAACCAGGGACCTCGGCCTTTTGGATGAGATGTTATCGTCTTTCCTAATATTTGCTTTTCCTCAGGTCACTCATTCCTAATTGGGATCGGGATCCTTGGAACTATTCTGTTGGTCGTGCTCGTTGCGTTACTCTTGCTGACCCAGAAGCGAAGACAGAGGCAGTGGCTAAGAGGTTGGAGCCAAATCATGTTCTCTTTAATGTGTCTATAGGATAAGGGGTCCTCGGGATTCAACAAAATTAGACTCAGAAAGACAGAATCTAGAAGTCTGGGCAGTTTCTCCAAACGGAGGAGACACGATTTCAAGGAGGCCTTGGTTGCACTGAAGATTCCTGTACTCTATCCACAGGTGTTTAATCGGGGCATGGCAGAATGGATAGTTTGGAATGAATATGCTACATATGGTTTAAGATGATCTTCTTTTGCCCACACATACTATTGGCTCTGACGATAATATCCTTATGACAAATTCTACTGTTCTGTCAAGCGGCAGTCTCTGAAGACACAGATGTGGGCAGTACAATGTTTCATCTCGGTGGAACTTCAAGTCTGGTGGAGTAGATGGAGATGTCAGCAAACACCCTGCGATGTGGCATTATGCACTAATGGGAATAAAGAACAAATATGGCACAGACAAGAGAGTAATTAGCTGAAAGGGAAAGGGAGTAGTTAGCACTGGAGGCTTCCAGGAGGCTTTGGGGAGAAGTTTTGGACACAGAGGCTCAGAGAACCGGGTGAGGAACATTCTAGAGAGGAGCACGTACACGTGTGAGAGACTTAAAGGACGGCGCGTTCCTGGTCTGGGGGGAAGTAAAGCCAAGGGCAAGGAGAAGCGACTGAGAAGTCCGGAGAGGAGGGGCGGGAGCAAGTGACGACCTTCCTGTATTCCGTGGCAGGAAGAGTCACAGTCGCCCGGGAGTCCCAGGTGGGGGAGTGGCGTGCCCAAGCCGTCTTTTGGAAAGATCTTTGGGCAACAGGATGTGCGAAGAATGGAAGAGGACCCCATTACGGGCAGGAAGAGCGTTTTGAAAGAGCTGAGACAGAAGACGGGAAAGGCTGCCAGTGTAGTGAGAGCAGCGGGGAGGGGACAGACTTTTGGGAAAAGCTCCGGGAGCGGGAGAGCCTGCTGGCCTTCTTGGGGATGAGAGTGGGTGGTTAAACAATGCAAAGGGAAGATTTCCCCTTGTGTCTGTTTCATCGGAGTGTGTGACGCCCTGAGGGAAAAGCTTGGGCACAGAATGAGATGGAAACAATAGCACCGGTAATCTAGTTTGCTGGGATCTTGCAACCTGGATGGAATTGGAGTCTATAATACTGAGGGTCTCTCACAGAAACAAAGATCTGAGTATCCCGTGTTCTCACTCATAAGTGGACCTTGAACATCTATCATAGCACTATAAGAAAAGGATTGACAGTGGCGGGGAACTATGGGGGGGCAGGGAGGGGAAGGGAGGTGGGATTAACGGTAGTCAATATCTGTCTGGGGACAGGGGGGCGCATCTCATCAACAAGGGTACCTGCACAATGCATATTTGTATACCTGACCCTTAACTGTACCCCACAATTTTAAAATAAAAAAAAAGATTAGGTACCTTTGCACTGCTGGGGAAAATGTACATAAGGGAGAGAAAGCTGTATTGTAATCTGCTTCCTAACCTCCAACCTCTGTCAGTTTTCTTAAGAGGACAGAACTGCGTCCACCAAGTTCAGTACCGGGAAATGAATTCCTGCGCGAATGCAGACGATCTGGACGTGCCGCGTTCCTAAGGTCTGTGAGTTCTTGGAGGGTCTCTTTCCCAGGGGCTCAGATGAGGGGCTGCAGTGGAAGCTCAGACTCCCTACTTCGACTCACTGGGAAAAATCGAAAGACAGGTAGTAAGGAGCATACAATGGATAGGAGGGAAAGAAAGGCAAGCAGGAACTGAAAATCATTCTTAGAGAACTCCAAAATTGCGATTCTAGGGCAGCTTCTAGCTTAAGAGGCTAGAGATTATTTCTGGCAGAGGTATGCAAAGAACCACGCAGCAGAGTATTACGACTTGAAGCTCATTTTGTTAAGACGGAAACTAACCTTCTAAAACAGGGGTCCCCAAGCCCCCGCTGTGGACCAGTACCGGTCCTTGGCTTCTCAGGAACAGGGCGGCAGAGTGGGAGGTGAGCTCTGCCTCCTGTCAGCTCGATCTGCAGTGGCGTTAGAGTCACAGGAGTGCGGACCCTATCAGGAACCGACTTGCAAGGGATCTAGGTTGCTGCTCCTTTTGAGAATCTAATGCCTGATGATTTTGCCCTGCCCCTCCCACCCCGTCGGTGGAAAAATTGTCTTCCACTAAACGGTTCCTGATGCCAAAAAGGTTGGAGACCACTGTTCTCAAAGACTGCCAGAAGTGACAGTTAAACTATGCTTTTTTCTTTAAATAACTTTTATTGCATATTTTTAAGGTATACAGCATGTTATGGGATGCATATAGATAGTAAAAAAGCTTACTAAAGTAAAACAAATTGGCATATTCATCATCCAACAGTTCCTTTCTTTCTGCTTTCCTTTCAAGAGTAACTAAACTCTACTCCCTTGCCATCAACTCCATACACAGTACAATGTTATTACCTAGAGTCCCCATGTTGTGTGTTTGATCCACATATTGTGTATTTGATCTCTAGACTTATGCATCTTACACATCTGTTACTTTTTTTGAGCAGCGGATACTTTGTATCTTCTGACCTACACATCTCTTTCACAGTTCCTGTCACTCTCCTTTCTCAAGCTTGACATTTATTATATTTTTCATAAAAGTCTAAAAGCTTAAACTCTGAGTATTTTTATCCCATGAAAAGCTAGTTCACAGCCCTAATTTCTGATTACATAATGCTTCTGTCTTTGTTTCTGAACTCTCATTTAGCACCAATTTACTAAATCTGCCTCTGGGCAGCACAGGCTACTGGTTGATGAGGGATCCCCAGGGGCCATTATCCTTACTCTGTGATGGCTTTTCCCTCCCAGAGAGGCCTGCCTCACTTCTTCAACCCAAAGGGTTTGATATTTGCTACAGTGTCAGGAAACATATTTAATGTGTGGGAAACATACTGTTACTCTGTCAGGAAACATATTTAAAGTATAGGAAACACATTTGGCTATGGCATCAGGAAACATATTTAAGGGATAGGAAAGACTTCCTACGCCCTATAAATCACACATGCCTGCCTTCCTGGTTGTGGCATGCCTGCCTTCCAAGTTTTTAGATGCTCAAAGAGCTTCTCCTGTACTTCAAGGGAGGTCTGATTTGTTTCCCAATAGTTATTTTCTTCCTTTCAGAAAATTCCAATGAGTCAGATGATTTTAATGCTGCTGGACTAATTTCTGTGTCTAAATTTCTTCCTATCTCTGGTACAAAAAAGGAGGCCATTCTGAGGCACACTGAAAAGGAAAATGTGAATTTATAACACAGTGAGGTAAGTAAGGAGACTTTGTTCATCACTGTTCTAAACATGTACATTCCTTTTGAATACTGAGAGCTCTTTTGGCATAAAAGAAAGAAGAAATAAAGAGAGAAAGAGAAAATTCATGTGTTTTTATATGCTTATGTGCTTATGATCACATGTCTGTATATCCATACTGAGAATATATAACACCTTATTATAAATGGGACTCTTACCTGAATCTTAATTACATATATGCACTCATATATATACATATACATGTGGTGAGCAATAACAATAATACACACATGTGGCTAAGGAAAAACTGGGTAAATAAATATTTTGAAGATACTACAGGCATTATTTCAGAAAAAAGATAAAACATCTATCCATAGTTGTACAACACATGCATGGTAAAGGTTGTACAAGATATTCCAGAAATACAGAAAGTTTGGGGATACTGTAAGAAGGTGTGATATTTAAGCTAAACTTTAAAAATGACTGAAAGATAGTCTATTCCAGAGAAAGAACCCAGCACGTGTCAACTAAAAGCATAGAAAAGAACCATACCTTTAGGGAACAGCAAGAAGTTTTTATTCAAGAACAAATATCGAACATATTTATGACTACAAGTAGTGTCCTCAGCACTGAAGATACAGAGATAAAACATCGTGTTGACAAAGACACGATTGTTCAGCATACGATCTCATAGTCTACAGATGGTGGTCCAGGGAAGTGTTGTGGTGAGAGTCTAAGCTGAAGGGCTGCACAGAGCCCTGTGACGATGGTCTTGTCTGCTGTGCCTTGTGTTCATGTTTCATTTTAGGGACAGCTGAAGAGCTGGTAAGCTTCAAAAGATTGAGATGAGGCAAGAAGATCAGATTTGCTTTCATGGGGAAAGTGCCAAAAAGCCAAAAATTAAAAAGTGAACAAGAAAAGAACATTTGCTAAGCTATACATAAAAGGAACAAGATGGTGAAATGGGTCTGTGGATACATTTTCGGTTTGAAAAAATAATTGGGGGAAGATTATACATCTAGAAATAATAGGTAGAAAAAATATTGGTATTTTGTGGGA